CTTTTTTTCTTTTGCCTCTCCTTCTGTTCTATTTTCTTCACTTGTTCTCCCTTACATCAGGGTAGGAGGCTTGCTTACCAATTGTAAAAGAGCCTTCTGCTCCCTGAAAACACTTTGAATACAATCTGCAGCTGAAGTTGGTGAAGCGAGAGAGATAAGAAGGGGCACTGATGATGGGAGGGAAGGCACCAAGCCGAGTTCTCACAAGAGGTTCAGCCACACAGCATCTGATCATTAATGTCCATCAAACATTTTGGCTTGTGTCCAGCTTGCTAAACAGAACAGTGTCATGGCAATAAGATGAAGGCCCCTATGCTGACGCAGGCAGAAAGCCAAAATTTCCCATGTAGATTTCAGTGCCTGTCTGCCCTCGTAGGTTGTATTAAGGATGCTCTGCCACTGATTTGGACTACCTTGTGAGTACTGCACAAAAAATAACACTAAACATGCAGTTGGTGAGCTGCTGGGAGAACAGTTCCTCATAAACATAAGGATTGCATTTTCCGGAAACTTGACTATGAAGTCTTCATCAAACAGCAGTGAGAGAACCAGCCAGAATAGCTGAAATGTATTATTCTCTCAATGATGTTGAGACTGATTTAAATGAGAAGGCTTTTTTATATGAACACAAATGAACTAGTTCTAATTCTGTATTCCAGAGTCATGCATCAGAACATGTCCCTACAGTGCTGACAGCACTGTGCTTATAGACTGTAATTTTCAGGCAGATGTCTTAAAAGTCAGTTATTTTGCTTTCATCTTTTTGAATCAAGAGAGAACTTTTGTATTCTCCCTTTTGTCCCAGAACCAACAAAATCTTGTTACACGATTTGGCCACAATCATGTTTTGCCATGCTGTGCCTGTTTGTTCTTAACACAGGGTAAGATCTGACACTGTCTACCTAATTTTTTCTCGAATATGTTATTTTGGACATATTGCTCTTCATTCTGCTGCTCTGCATGCTCATCATAAAATTGTTTTTGAAATTATTACATCTACAACTTCTAATGCATAGCATCCAGAAATTTCTACCCTTATGAGTACACCACTTCCAAGAGAAGAACCTTGTCAACTGGAAGCATAATACAAAGGAAGCTTTCATATTTGCATAAAAATTGCTTGATAGCAAAGTCTCCAAGTGTGTCTTTGAACCAGTGTATGCAAATTTGATATAATAAAACAAAATACTCTAAAGATGACAGAAAATAATGGTACTCAAGACAGGTTTAAAAATTGGCTTCCTCTTCTTTTACCCGGAGTCTAGAAAGAATTTTGAAAGTATATTCTATTTGTGGTTTAAATTTTCATTTCATAAACTCAGTTACTGCTCAGCATCCTTTCTTTAAATAGATTTGTATATTTTAATTTATGGCATGTGCTGTCCCTGTGGAACTTTACAGAAAAACTGTACAGTCATTTATCTTTGTTATTTTGTGAAGTATTTGGAAGAAGTAAGCATACTAGCTCAGCAGATTTAAAAATAATAGTAGTTCTAAAACACCTTACATGAGCTATTAATTGGAATAACATGTGCTAAAGACAAATTATACATTTTTTTTAAGGATCCCAATCTGTCAGCAAATAGTAAGAAGCTGTGGCAGTTTCATCCATTCTTGTTTTAATTGCTTCATACAATTAAAAAATCATTCAGTTTAATTGTATTCTGATCAAAGTTATTATCCAGCATCATCTTTAATTTTCGTAATTAAATAAATTAAAATTCTTTGTAAAAATCCTGATCTCTTTTTTTTTACAATAATATCCAGTCTGAGAAAAGATCCTGACAATTTCTTCTGTAACAGTGTTACTTTACAGCAGAGACATTGCATGTAATACTGTTATCTCATTCAATATATCCAAAGGAGAAAGGTACAGTACACAGTGTAATATGCATTTTTGTCTGCTTCTTTCTATTTGCACACTTATTGTGACTGTTTAGGGAAATGTGTGTTTGGCAGAGTATCTAGTCATTACCTTGGATAATGATCTGATTTTAGGAATATTCAGGCAAAGGGATAATTTGTCCTATCTGCCCATTTGTGTCATCGTTTAAAATGACACATCTTAGAACTGTGTAAAGAAATATAGAAACTGAAAAGCATGCTCATCCTGATGTTATTTTTGATGCGGTAACTAAGCCTATTAAGGAATTTAAATTTGCAACCTTTCAGTCTATATTACATTTTAAAGAATGAAAATTGAAGATTAATCTTAAGCATTTTATTTTCCTATCACTATGATTTTCAAAAAAATCTGAGTTTTGTTTAAGTTTTAAAGATAATATTTTTTCATTTGAAGAGGTGAAAAGGATTTCACAAACAGAACTATAAAAAATTTCCATATTCATGGAAATACTTAAGTCTTTTCTGGATGACAAGTTGAGTGGTGTGTTGATACATGGGAGGAAAGGAACGCCATCCTGAGCAAACAGGACTGAAAGATGGGACCCTATGAACTTCATGAAGTTCAGCAAGGCCAAGTGCAAAGTGCTGCACCTGGGTCAGATAGACCACAGACACAAATACAGACGGAGTGCTCAGTGGGGAGACAGCAGCCTCGAGGAGCAGAACTTGGGAGTACTGGTGGATGAAACACTGAAAAGAAGCCAGCAGTATACACTTAGAACTCAGAAAGCCAATCATGTCCTGGACTGCCTCAAAAGAGGGGTGGCCAGTAGGGCAAGGGAAGTGATAACAACCCCGTGCTCTGCCTTTTCGAGGCCTCACTTGGAGTACTACATCCAGCACAAAACATGGACCTGCTAGAGCTCTTCCAGAAAAAGGCCATGTGTATGAGCAGAGGGCTGGAGCATCTCTCCTGTGAAAATTGGTTGACAAGTTATTCAACTAGAAGAAGAAATGGCTCTGGGGAGATGCTATTGCAGCCTTCCAGTATCCAGAGGCCTACAGGAAAGCTGGAGAGGGACTCTTTCTCAGAGAAAGTAGCGATGACAGTTTTAAACTAAAAAACAGTAGGTTTATATCAGATTATGTTGGAGGAAATTCTTCACTTAAAGGATGATGAGGCACTAGAACAGTTTGCCTAGAGAATCTGCAGATGCCCCATCCCTGGATGTGTTCAAGGCCAGGTTGGATGGGGTTTTGAACAACCTGGTCTGATGGAAGGTGTTCTTGTCCATTAGCAGTGGGAGTTGGAACTAGATGGACTTTAAGATCTCTTCCAACCCAAACTATTCAACGAGTCTATACTTCTGTTCAGCTGTGAATGAGCAATTCTGGGCAGAAAAAGAAGTTAATAAAATGAAATAGAAGCAAAACCATAAAAAGTCCTCTGGGTACAGAAATTTTGGTTAAACTTCCCATGGTTGTGTTACCTTCATGAAATATATTTAAACTAACACGTGCCTGTTTAGACATAAAACTTATTTTACTTATTGTGCTTGAGCAATTCAACAATATATTTCTTCAATTTCCCCCTGCATACTACCACAGTTTCTTTAGTCTCCCTTCATTACTTCATTGTTTTTCTTCTCAGTGGTCATTGTCAAACAGTAATAAACTGCAATGGAGTGATAGGGAGAACTGACACTCCAGCTGAGAGGAGGATTGATGATGTGTGGGAAGTAGTAATGGAGAGGTATTCGGACTTCTCACATTCTTGTTATATTGCTCTAAAAGCATTTCAATAACTGTTCTGATAATGATATGAAATACAGCAGAGCTCTCTGGAGACAGATTTTGCCAGTGTCCTTAAATGTATTTACCTGCTAACTCCCTAAAATTTCTTACAAAGTCAATTACTTGCATGAGTATTTTGCTTTACTAAGCTTTATACAGTATAAGTATAAGCAGCATACAGTACCAGTAAAAGCATGACTCTGTAGCTCCACACTGATCACCATATAACCAAGAGAAAGGAAGGAGGTAGTATGTTGTTGCATGGTTAATATTTATGGTACTGAGCTTTATGAGAGATATTTTTAATATTATGTACCACAGGAAGTACTCTGTCTCTGTCATTAGTTTAGTTTTTCAATAATTGCTCTTCATAGCTTATCTGCTTGGTAGCTGAGCATGTATTATTCACACTTGGAGCAGGAGAGGGCAGGGACCTAGGTCTATATACTGAAAAGTCTTGGAAATTTAAATAACAGCGAAAGTTTCCAGTGTTGCTGCAAAGAGTTAGCATGTTCCATTAACCATGTTCCAGTTCTCCCTTGAGCCAACAGTTTCATGCTTTTTAAACAGATGTTTCCCAGATCCTAGATTTACTCATCTTTGAATCAGCTAATCTACTGCTGCACTCAAAATAATGCTCAGACATTCAAGTTCAAAGCTTTAGAATAATTTCCATCCAGTCCCATATAAAGATAGGAATTATCTGTACTTGCTTATTACAGAAATTTGAAAAGGTCTGAAATTTTAAAAAGGTGTATATATTTAGGGATAGGGATATTGAGGTGTTTGGGATTTTGAAAAGCGAGAGCTGTATCACTGTAATATTACAAACTAGTAGAGAAATGTATACATAAGTTATAAAAATGAGCGTGAGTTCTCTGACACAAGACACAAGGTCTGACTCCTGACCCCCTGTTAAAGCAATCAAACTTCAATTAAGAAATCATGGAAAACAAAACAACAAAAGAAAGGTAGAAGGAAAAACAAAAGCTTTTGCTTTAAAAGTTAATTGTAGTTTAGACTTGATGACTTAGCAATGCTGTTGAAAAATAGCTTTTTTCAGTTTCTCTTTTTTTTCTTGCAGAATTACATCATTACCTCTGGGTAGTTTTAAAGGACACAGAAGATGATGTATTTCAGTTGACAATGAATACAGCTAGTTGATACGTCAGGAAGTAGTGACTGTCAGGTCACGACACAACGAAACTGTATTTTTAGATTTATGTAAAATAAGCTTTTCTTCTTTCCTTTAGAATCCTCCTTTCTTTTCCCCTGTGCTGACCACTCGCACATACTAACATACTAACCTTCCACTTTCACATAATAACAAATCCAGGAGATAGACTTTGATATCAACCTACCATTCGGATGCCATTCTCAAAGGCCTGACGTGCTAGAGAAGCAGGTCCGTCTACAGTTTTGCCGTCGTCATCAGGCCCCCAGCTAGCACTGTAGATGTGGATGTGCTGGGGATTAAGGCTCAGAGACTTTGCTTCTACCATGTCTGTGACATCTCCATCCAGCATCCTGACACCTTCAGGATGAAAAATACAATCAACATGACAACCAAACACAAAAAGATTCTTTTTTCTTTTTTCACAGATAATGACTGTGTGGGGCACTGGATTAAGATTTCTAATGTAGAAAACAGAATCTCTTTGGATATGTGTTTCTCCAACAACAAAATTTTCCATATGAAAATACTGTGAGGGAGTAGTATTATGGTCTTTGAGCTTTGAGAACTGTTTTCAAGGCATTTAGCCACCATATAACCTTTGAACTTTAACAAGTTTCTATTCTGAAACAAATTAAAAAATAACTTGAATATTGTTATTGAAATGTTTGTTTATTTCATTTGAAGACAGTATATGCTTCTCACTCTTCTTTCATCCTGCAGTGAAACTGCAGAACTTAATTGAAGACATTCACAGTCCTAAGAATGCTGACAAATATAGAAACAGGATATCCACTGTCAGGTAAACATGGGAATATTCCTTCACTGTATCAGATGGCCAGGAATAAGGCAAAGGGAAAGCTTGTATGTACAGATAATCATGTAGCAGCATGGCAACTACAGGAAGCCACTAGCAAATACTATTTACTACACACTTCTGAAGTGAATGGCATCATGGTACTTTAAGATCACTAGACTAAGTAAGGTAAGTTTAAATTTGGAAGCTGAAAAGATCCTTCAGGTTTTTCTTTTGACTAAGATTTTGATCGAAGTTAAATTCTGTCTGAGAAAACCACCAGTATCAGTTTTAACCTACACAGGAAAGAGGACCTTCGTACAGTTAGTGTAATGTTTGATCAAAGGGATATTAAATATTGCATCATAATTAGTATGTAACCGTAGAGAGTAATGATCACTTCCAAAATTAAACGGTTTGAGGCTTATTTCCCTTTAAAAGTCCACTGCTATTTATAAGCCAAATTTACATATTTTAATTACAGACACATTGCACTTTGCTCATGAGTTCAGACTGCAGTAACTTGAGTGTTTACAAAGACCCTGACTTTCAATTAACAAAAAAGTATAGAGGCTGCTTTGTTGATAGAGGGTCTTTTTTTTCTTCATTCTAATTGACTCAAAAATGAAAAGTGATCATATTTCTAAGTTCACACAAAAGCTGCCTATGTTTTGTGAGATAATAAACTTATCCAAACAGTGATCTCACTATGAACTTTACTGCATAAAAAAGCCATTAAAACAACTTTGGGAATCTCAGGTTTTATTTTAATTCCTAAGCATAATCTTAGAAAACTAATGATGGTTGGAAGCTACGTTCTCATTTCTTGCAAGCATATTCAAAATAAAGAGACAATGAAAGGAACAATGCATTTAAAAGAAAGAAGATAAAGCTTCCCTTTATGTTTCTGTGACTGTGTAGCAAACCTAAGTCATACAGCGTTTACCCACTGAACAATAATATCAGACACTGCCATGGCATCTAAGTAATTCACACCAGGTTTTTCAGTTGATGGTGAAATGGTCAAATCTAAAACAAGATGGACAAGGCTGTGCCTTAGGTGCAGCTCTGTTCTGCCCACGACTGGCAGACATGCTTCAAGTGTAACTTTGATCAAGGATATCTCAGTGGCTTTTTACAAAGCACAAAACAACACACTCCTTTCTTTCCCTCTCTCTCTCCCCTTCTTTTATTTATTTATTTATTTTTTTCCAAATGTCTGGAAGAGTTAATTTTGCTGATCACAGAACCTCCAAACTCCATTTGGCATGTGGTGATAGCACAACAAAAGCTGTCCAGAAGGCAATTAGCAGACTGTGTTTCCAGACTGTTCCACCTAAGACTTTGGAGCTCTGTAAACTTTTTCCAATATCTACAGTAAGTGCCAAAATGTAAGTGGCATTTTAGTCAGAGCAAACTTTCAGCAAATCACAGGAAACATGCAAAACTAAGCTGAAAGAAGGTTTTCTTTTAAAATGTTTGTCTTTAATCAGCATCTGACTTAAGCTTAAAGAAACAGCTGAACTAATTCCTCGTCAGCTGAAGACAATCTACATCTGTTGTGCCATAACTCAGTGTAACTGTTTTCCTGTCAGGACTCCAGCCCCGCCAAGTAACTAAGCACCCAAATCCCCGCAGAGGCTTTGCAACTTCCACAACCAATCTGCAGCAATAACAACAGCCTAACCATCCTTTCCTATGCAAAGTTTCACAAACTCCTTAGGTGGTAACTTGCTATATATGACTTCCATGGAGGGTCACACATTAAAGAAACTACCCCTTTTTTGCATGGCATTGTGTTTTAATAAAAGGGGCCTGTATCTGAGCTAAGCACAAACTACAGGCGTATTGCTTAATTTTTTTTACAAGAAATATCCCACGAGCTATAAAAGAAATGAAGGTCCAGATTGCATTTTTTACTGATCTTTATATCTGCAGATTAAGTCTTGATTCAAAGTATTGCAGAAGGCTTGGACTTTTTGAAGAACTTGTGGTTAGAGGCTTTTACATATGTGAAAATGATCGCAGAATATGACCATATTTAGAAGAAAAGTGGTGGATCTACTTGTTAACAATCTTCCATCACAACGATCACTAATCGGATTTGCTCAAAGAATCACAGAATGGCCCAAGTAGGAAGGGACCTTAAGGATCATGAATCTCCAACCCACTGCCACATGCAGGGCCACCAACCTCCACATTTAATACTAGACCAGGTTGCCCAGGGCTCCATCCAACCTGGCCTTGAAAACCTCCAGGGATGGGTCATCCAGAATCTCTCTGGGCAGTCTGTTCCAGCACCTCACCACTCTCACAGTAAAGAAACCTGACATCCAACCCATATCTCCCCTCCCTCAAAGCCATTTCCCCTTGTCCTGCAGTTATCCACTCTTTCAAAGAGTAGACTCCCCTCCTTTATGTAGGCTCCCTTTAGGTACTGAAAGGCTGCAGTGAGGTCACCCTGCAGCCCTCTTTTCTCCAGGCTGAACAATCCCAGCTCCCTCAGCCTGTCATCGTAGGAGAGGTGCTCCAGCCCCCTGATCATCTCTGCGGCTCTCCCCTGGACCTTCTCCAACAGCTCTCAGTCTGCTCAGCTGACGGTATTTGATGCAATGTTGGTGGGAAGGATTTATTTTTCCTTTTGCTTTATTTCCTTGCTATCCCTAATGTGTACAGAGATATAGCAACTCCCACTTTGATTTAAAGTAAAGAATACTCATCTCATGCCATGAGAAATCTCATGGCAGAGAAAATTCAACACCACTGTTGGCAGCTGTTCCTCTTAATAAGGAAAGTGTAAGTGCTTTACCTTCACTCTACTTTTTCTCCAAAATAGCGAAAGGATGGTCTTTAAATCTGTGGGAAATAAGTGGGCTGAATACTAGTTCAGTATAATATGATTCAACGTTTTTACACTATATCTGGCCTGTGGAGAGGGAACACAACCACTGCATACTCACATGTGTAGGTTATGGCTTTTCTGAGTGAAGGGAGGGAGCCATGCCAAATACAGGTCAGCAGCGAAATTCCTACATAAGAGCACCTAGTAGAAGGGAAAATAACAACCCCCTTTTCCAATATCTCTGAGCTCTCTTTGGTCTCTCACTTTCTGTGGATTGTCTGTTGAGGTCCTATTTTCAAATACCAATAATGTTAAGAGGTGGTACATGGTCATGCTGCCACTCTAGTATTTTCCAGCTCTCTTTAAATAATGGTGATGCTGATGGTCCACCAGAGTTAGTGTGCTGAATAGAGAGGATAATTATTTACTTAAACTAGAACAGTGAAAATTCTTGAAAGCTGTTATATTCTTAGAACAAAATAAATAAACACATTATGCAAAAGGCACACATATGCTGCCTTTGCTTTTAACGTAAATTGTGTCCATACTATGTCCATCTGAATCAGTTTTCACATTATATTTAGAAAAAAACAGTGATTCTGCTAGTATGCCTGTTGTTCTGTTGTGTTTTGTTTTTGTTTTTTTTCTTCAAAAATATTGCTACTGCAGATTCCTGGTGCCAAATAAATAATAACCTATTAGGAAGCTATTGTTAATAATGAAGAGCTTCACAAGCACACGCCTAGGCTTTTACACGTCATATCAATATCCAACCGGGAAATGAAAATTTAATTCCAGAAGTCACCTTTTATTTATATCATTGCAATAACTCTTTTCAGATGCTAGTTTGAAGCAGTAAATTTGTTCATAGCTGCTGGAACATGATCAAATGCCCTGCCCACATGAGACAATCTGTTCATCTGCCACAAGCTCACTTGGCCAGCTCAAATATTTTAAAGCCTTCTGACACAGGAATTTTGTGCAGGCAGTCTCTTTGCCTGAAGTAAAATTGTTTATCTGCATCACTCTAGCCTTATGATGGAACAGATACTGTCTTGAAGCTAGTAGGAAAACAGAACTATCTCTCTGCTTTGGCTAATTTGAAACATAGTTGTGTTCACATTTGATTTGGATCAAACTTGTACTGATCCAGTAGGGAAAAAATACAGTAGTGTTAGTTGTGGAAACAGCCCCAGTCCTGCCTGCTCATATTTTTGAACCATCTTCTGTGATATATATGTGTAAATATATTTCTGTTTTCATAAATAGGTTTCATTTTAGAACAGAAAACTGGCAGCTAATGAATTTGAGCTACAGATATTTTACTGAATGCCAACATACCAATCCCATAATTCCATCAAAAATGGAACAAGGTAAAACTTCAGTTGAAGCATTAAAATGTGGCACAGGCAGGCTACAGCTTAGAAGAAATGTAGTTGACATCTTTACAGTCATTTCCAAGACCAACTGCCAAAAGTCTTGAGCTGCTATTGGCTAAGAACTGATAGAAATCACCTGGAGCCTCTTGGCTGAACAGAGCATGGACACATTACTGAATCTCATACTTTAGGCAATAGTCCAATCACATCCAGGGATTAAAAGATACTCTTCAATCATGGCCAAACAACACAACAAAGTTTTCACAGTGTTTTTCTTGAGATCGATACGCAAGGCAATATTCCTTATGTTTACATTTACTTCTGATTTCTCCAAGCTCATTACTTACAGCTCTGGATCTCTAAGAAAATGCAGATGGTGTAGTTCTGGGTTCTTTGTTTTCACTGAACATCTCACTTTCTATGTTACTGTGTTTACTGACAGGCAGTGTTCCCAGGAGCACTGGAGAAGTGTCACTGAAGGACAAACTCCTTCAGTACTGGTCTTCAACCATCACTCTACTACTGAGTTAACACAGCAATTACCTGTATAAACCTCTTCCTCTTGTTGAGAAAGATGAGAATGTAGCATTAAGCACAAATGTCTCTTTGATTTCTTTTTTTGTGGTGGGAGACTGTTTCACATACCTCCAATCTTGGCATTAAAGGCGATTCCCACTGTGCAGTGTGAGTTGTTTGCAGTGGCTGCCACTTCTCCAGCACAACGGGTTCCATGCCTAGAGTCAGACAAACATTTTTTCAAGTAAGCACAGACTGCTGGGATTTACAGGCATCGGCGTTGCTTATCCTCAGGTGCTAAAGGCACAACTATCCACAATGTCCTGCACTATTTAAAGCCCCACAGTAGTTTATACCCACATTGAACATATTTTAACATCATTATCACTGTTAACTTAATCTGTTCATGGCAGGCTTCCTAGCTACTGGAAACACATGTAACAAAGGCATACAAAGACGATACATGATCCCACCAACAGAAGGAAGACTTGGGCATCAATTCTTGATTTTGAAGCAGTTCCTAGGTTATGCACAAATTGCTGTACTGCATTCTCCCATAATATCCGCATGTTGCTAGCATACACATCTCCATTCAGTGAGTACCCTAGGCAGCCACAAGACCTGCCACATTTCGCATGAAGATGAGACTGTGCTCTGCTGTATACTGCTGTTCACAGGCATGCCTACAACTGGCTGCGAGTCAGGTATAATCAAAGCTGCTGTAAAGGCATGTCATAGTCATGTCTTGGGCTAACCCTACAAACCTGCTGCCTTTCCAGGAGCAGAAAAAACAGCTGGAGTCTAGTTTCACATCAGCATTATGGCCTGTGCCTGGGATTTGGGCTGCAAATGTATGATCTTGAGAAGCAGCTGAAAGAGAATGCAAAATCTCCAGTAGTTGCTTAAACTCTTCTGTGCAGTACAAGGCCAGAATAGGATGCCTCACCTAGCCCTGATCCATGCCCTCTACAGCTGTAATCACTGTGGTAGGAAAGCTGTCCCTGGTTCCTGTGATTCTTGTCCGCAATACAAGCTTCCCACAGTGATTTCCATCAGTAAATTTTGCCCTCATCCTTGTGCAGCTATGCAGCTCCACTGCAGAAATGTGACATAACTAACAAGAAGCAGACAGGGAAATTCATATTGTTGCCGTAGAGAAGAGCTATGGAGTTTCAATCCAGAAAGGAAAAGAGATCCAAAGTTGATGAGATGAAGATAGAAAGACAATGTGGGGCTTGGCTAGCCACAAAGAAAGAACTTAAAAATTGAAGGCTAAAAGTAGATAATGAACATGGCGAGCAGTTTAGGTGAGGTCAGTTGTGTACACAAGCACTCTTCCACTGGTGATGGCTGACAGACTGCTTACATAGACATCTGGAGAACACGGGTGTTTTTGAACTAAGGTTGACGCCCACATTACAGACAAGAATCACAGTTGCCTTCTCTTGGTACAAGTTGTTTTGGATAAAGTCACTCCTTATTTCCATACTATTAGTCCAATTTTTTCCCCTTAACCTTCTGAGACACTTTGATGAGAAATGTTACAACAACATGTAATGTAAAACATGAACAACAACATGACTAGGAAAAAAAGAGGAAAAACACAAGGAATAAAGTGATTGGAGTTAACCTGTTAGAATTTTGAATGAGACAATTAAATTTATCAGGTAAGTTAGAAATATGTTCCCTGAAAAAGGAACATTACTAACAAAACCAAAGTGATGATATGGATGCTGATGAACTCTAAAACTGGATTAAAGTTTCACAGTTACATATGTAGCTTCTTGAATCACTTCCTATTATCTGTTCACAGTTCATCATTCAATTGCCAAACTTGATCAGAGATTTTTTCAAGACTTAATTTTAAGTTTACCTTTCATAGGAAGCTGAATTTTCAAGCCAAATTTTCTTAATTTGGAGAAAACTAGTCTAGTTGAAATCGATACAGCAATACCCTTTTATTGAATTACTTTCCAAAGCCTGAAGTGTATCGTTCAGAAATCACAAAGCATAGATTACTACAGCCTTTAAAACTACACATAACACCCCAGTGCATGAATTTCAGTAATAAACCATTTCCTGCATGGTGAAATACATATGGATGAGGTGCAGCTTCCCAGAGGGAGACTGTGTTGGTGAGAAACCCCTCCTAGGTACACAACTTAAAAAGAGCATCAGATGAGAGTGAACAAGGTTTTTTCAGCAGAGAAAAGAAACAGATAAAATCCACATCTGGAAGACTAAGGTTGCCCGAAAAAGAATGGAAGAAACATCTGCAGTTTTTCTGGAGTTCACAGCACCTAAGCACCAAAGGTTAGGGTTCCACCAGATCAGCAACCGGACCCCAGGATCAATGTTATGTTTATACACAGCAAACAGACGATGTGTAGTGAGGGGCTGCATGGGATTCAATGCAACCTGAAACTGTACCCCAAATTCTACCTGAAATGGAAGTAGCTGCATGCCAGATGTACTTCTAGTATCAGTAAGAAACAGCCAAAAGTGACATGGAGGTATGATAACGTGTACTCACTGAATTGAAGAACACTATGAAATCTCATGTGAATTTCAGATACAAAAAGTAAAAAAAAAAAAAAAGCCTATTCTAGATCTTTGGACAGTTTTGTGATATGCAGGTTAAATTAACTTTGCTGAATATTTCACTAATCTTCCTGCATTGGAAAATCCTTTTTATCATCTTTAGTGCAGTAATGTCATAAATTTATTTTGTTAGCAGATTTTTATGTTAGACTGTTGCTTCTCTGCCAAGATTATTGCTAATTGCATTCCACATTTATATGGGAAATGACAAAATTAAAAGTTGTTTTATTCATTTCAAGGTCATATGTATAAAACTGCACATCTCACAATCAGCTTCTCACTGTGAGAATTAATCATATATGCAACTCAATTTGTTTTAATATGTTATCTTTTATGGGTCCTTTAAGTAATATTTCAATTATGTTGTGAAAGGAAAGACTTCATAAAATCTTGCATATAAAACATAATGTTCTTTCTACACTGCTTTTCATTTTCTCTGTCCTACATTTTTCTTGATGTCTACAGTTTCAAAGAGACTCTGAATCCTGCAAGTGAAATTAGAAATGCCTCCTCGTTAATCACTACTATGATTACTAACTATTTAAACAAATATGATGAAATTGATGCTTGAGATTGATTAGGTTTGCTTTTGAGCTATGAGAACTTCCATGGAGAATGAAATCCTCAAAATTCCAAATTACAGTTTATGGAGACGTATTATAGGACTCCACTACTAATAGGAGGAAAAGCATGTAAGGTGCTTTCAAACTAACATTTTTTGTGAATGAATATATTTCAAAACACAACAATCTCCTATATTGGTAGGATGCTTGCATCACACCAACTTGTTTAAAAAAGATAGTGCAGTCCTAGAACAAAGCATGACTGCCTTTCTACAAAGGCCTATCTTGACAAACTTCAAGGGTCAATGCTTCATTCCACTGTATCCCTTGCCAGCATATACTGGTGGGAAGTAAGTTCCCAGACTACTAAATAGCACTTTGAAGAGACACTCAGCTAAAAGGCACAGCACTTGTCCTTCATGTTCATGTCAATGTGATACAGTATTACAGAACAGAAACACAAAAGAATGTTTGGCTATGAGATATTGAGCTTATCCACGAATGGGTCCTCTACCTCACGTCTGAAAGAAAGAAAAGGAATGGAAAGAAGAAAAGCTTTCTTTTGTTGCGATTCAGAAGGAAAGACACACAGAAAAAATTGCCGTTCAAAATGATATTCAAAGTTTTGGGCTCGAGATGCTACCAGGTAAAAGAAAGATGTCATATCCATTATCTTAAAATAGTTGTATTTAGACACTTATGAAATTGGCTAACAATTTCTACCATAAAATTTATTTCTCATACGATTCTGATTACCTTCAACTACTGCAGCTAATTTTTTCATTCAGACAACTATGCAAACCTTTTTTAGGAATGTATTTATTTTCATTTTTGTCCATGTGATAGAAAGAACACACACACACACACACACACACACACACAAAGAGAAAATGGAATTCAGATTGATTTTCATCTCTCTGTATAAAGTTCATCAGCCTGTCACTAACAACAAGCCAGTAAGTTGACAAAGACCTACGTTAGAAGACCTTAGTAAAGATGAATTCTCTGCCTTATGGTGCCTTTGTCATTAGAGGGATAAATTCAAACAAATTGTCAAAGAAATATGCCTCTTGTCTAAATGTATGCCACCTTTTGTGTGCATGAAAAGTGCTTGAGCACCTGGACAGTAAAGGATCTTTTGATGGCTCCCTGAAAATAAGATAAGCAAGAGAAACGTAAGAGCTGCACTCTGTTCTGTTATACAATGTGCCTTTTTTCAGTAATAGGTTTTACTAGATTTTCTCTAGAACAGGAACGGGTCAATACTTTAGGCAAGGGATGGAAAGGGATAGAAACGTGCATGTTCTGTGTTTAACTATCACTCTCCATCGCAGCAACAAATAATTTAAACATATGGCATCTATCTTTGAATGATCAGTCTTGATGTGACTTTCAGAAGAGGAGGAAGGTATAAGGAACCAGGTAAGATTAAAGTTAATTGCTTCAGAGCTTGCCTCTGAACATTTGGAGTAAGAAAATATTCAGTTAAGGAAGAAAGCTGCCAGTATTTTTAAAATCCCCTTCCACATAAATTGGCTCTGCTTTTCAGAGTCTCCATCTCTGACAACTATTCACTGAACCCAGCAAACACTTTGAACACACACTTCTTTGCAGTATTTTATTCTTTGGAACTCACCAAGTATTTCTGAACACAAAAAGCTCAGGAGACCGGAGGATTTAAAGCCCTACAGCTTTTCATGACACTAACATTACAGTCCAACCCACTTCAACCTGTCACCACAGAGTCTTTTCAGACTAGGAACTTAAGGAAAAAGAGTTTCAGAGTATTTCAATGCAAGCCCATCACAAATGTCTCTGGTCATACCAGTAATTTTCTGAGGTTTTCTAAGAGATACTCAGCACAGAAATGAGCTTGTGTAAAGAACAAAGAAAACAGAAGCTTGTTTGTTTGTTTTCATCGGGGGAAATACTGACAGAAAACTTCACATCCTTTGCAAATTCTGTACTGCACACATTGTGAGTGGATATCAAATAACTGTAAAAAGATAGAAAAGATAGTCTAAAAGTTCACATAAAGTTACATTCATGTTAAT